ATATGGGGGAGAAAGCAAAATAAGCATTTTCTTTTTAACTAAATATACCTTGTCTCACATACACCTTTATGCATGGATATAAAAACAATTTTGTGATTTATATGTCTCCATCCTTCTAGCTCAGTCACTGATGGCTTTTACAGAACAACTGACAACTGGGAAGATGCCTGCCTTCTTTTCTATCTGTAAGATGTGACATCAGATTGTCTTTCAATGGGAATCAACATTGTTTAAAAAAAAAAAAGTTACACCTTCAAAAAGACTCAACAATTTTTCAGACAGTGTTTTTCTTTTACAAGAAAAACTATACATTATGACCAGAGAATGCAAGTTAGTACCATTATGTTAGTGTGGATAAGGAAATCTGTCATGGCCTCATGGCATCATCTGTGATAGACAGATACATCTTCTGGCTATTCTGGTCAATCTTCATCAGAAAACATAGAAATATAATGGCTCATGTTTAAAAATGCAAATTTAATATCACTTTAACCTGAGCTGCACTATCAAATCATCTTTTTGATAGTGCAATAGGATTGCTACAGTTCTGTCTAAACAAAATGCCTACTCCCCAACACAACCCAATTCCTCCCATGCACACTGAAAAACAGTAACTTGACTACGGTGGCAAGATGAGGAAGAGTTAACTGTTCAAACACCTCTTCAGAGTCTCACAATCTGCATATCTGGGAGTGGATTTTTTAAAAAATACATTTAATTAATTGCAATTTAAAACCACACTTACTGATGTACTTTAATAATAAAGAATCTTCTATGTGCTATGGTCCATAAAAAATGTAGTATTGCGTTAACTTCAAAGGTGGTAAGATGATTAAAATAAAAAGTTCAAGTAACATGACACGCAGCAGCATTAAAGATATAAGACTGAACAATCCCAGTGCTTTAGCAGAATCATTTCATATTTTTGTTACAGAAGGGGTCTTAAAATGAAATCCAGCAACCATAAGCATAAATAAAAGCTTTTAAAATCTTTTCACAATATGTTAGTGAAAGAATCATAAGAGCATTTTATGGGAACAAAGGGGGCTTTACTTATTAAAATCAATACAATTCACCTTAAGGTATCATATTTGTAATGTTTTTAATTCCTAAAATGTATCCCTTACATTTAACAATTTCTGAAAAAGGACCTAAAATCATACCACAGGTTTCCAAGAGTCGCCCTCACCCCTCAACTAAAACCATCCCGAGAACCTCAGACTCTTACACTCTCAGCAGCACTCAATCTCCTGGGTGCTAAGTTAGAATGAACATGCTAAAGCATAGTGACACAGAAGCAGGAAGTTTTATACTGAAAACCGGCCTTGAAAATTGCCATTCCATTACAGTCGTTCAAGTACTTATTCAGGTCCTCACTTCTCTCTCCCTAGGTTCTTAACGTGTGGCCCTGGAACTGTAGCATCAGCATCACCAGGGAACTTGTTAGAAATGCAAATTCACAGCCCCACCCCACACCAACTGAATCAGAAACTCTGGGAATGGGGCCCAACAATTTGTGTTTTAACAAGCACCATAGATTATGATGTACTACAAAGTTTGAGAACTAGTCCTTCTCAAACTTTAATGTGCATAAGAATCACCTGAGAAGCTTGTTAAACTGCAGACTCTAATTCAGCAGGTCTGAGGCGGGGCCTGAGAGCTTACATTTGTAATGATTTCCCGGGTGATGTCTTCTGCAGACCACAATGCAAGAGTTTCTCAAATCGGTTGTTTACTGAAATTTAGGGTGCTCATAAAATACAGATTCCAAGGCACTACCCTAGCCCCAATTATCCAAATCTCAAGAGAAAGATTCAGAATATAACCAGTGGTTCGCCACCTTGGCTGCACATTAAACTCACCTGGTGAGCTTTTACTAATCCTGATTCCCAGGCCCCATCCAAGACCAATTAAGTCAGAATCTCTGGAGTTGGGGCTCAGGCATCAATATTTTTAATAACTTCCCAGTGATTCCAATGTGCAGCCAAAGTTAAGAATGACTGCTCTGGAGTCTAACTAGCTCAACACCTGGCACAGTGGATCCCTTTATAGTAGCAAACAGGTTCCTATAAAATAGCTTTCTGGGCTCCCTGACATAAATCCAAGACTGCTGATTTTGAATATCAAAATGCAGTAAAGTTAAGTTTTCCTCATGTCTTTAACCAGATTTCTGTGCACAAACTTGCCTGTACAATGCTTTCTGCAATTGGGTAGGTAATCAAAAAATGGGAGCAACAGTGAAGAATTTGTATCCAGACAGCCTGTTCATATGTTGACATCCCCTCAATACTGAGTGGAAGGATAACTAACTGATGGATCTAGAGCTTCTAAACCCATAAAATGAGGATTTCACCAGTTACAGACATTCTGAGAGAAAAGTCTTGGGAAGGGATGAAAAGAGTGTGCATTTATGTATGAGAAGTTAAAATTGTCAAAAGCACAACATCTGGTGGGCAAACACACTGCTCATGACATGATAATAACTAGGAGAAAAAAAAAATCCCAGTATGTCTGTTTATGTCTTATGGCACTTAGGATAAAGCAACACTAATAAGTACACAATGCTGTTAAATATGTAAAACAGAAAGACAAATGTGTGGTACTTACTAAGGCACTGTTGAAATGCTTAGTTATTTCCCTCCCATAATGAGGAAGCTTTCCTGAATTTTCCACAGTACACCTCAAAAATGAGTTGAAGATATATGGAAATAAGACAGTCCATTTTCCACTTAAGTGAACTTTCATTCTCCACTTGGTCATCTTCAGTGTCTACTCTACATTAGTTATTTTATAGAATACTTGACACATTCAAGGTCTGCTAAATGATAATAGTTCTTCTTCTTCCACCACCGTTTCAACATATCCACAGCGGTCAAAAGTGTGTCCTATCATCTGCTTAATTCCATGAAAAAGAAATCCAGGGGCTGGGGTGTTTGAAGAGAATAATATCTAAATATGTGTGCAAAGTGGCTACTGTTAAAATGAAATTTTCAAAAGCATTTTCTGTATGAACTGGTCAAGCTCACTTTCCTTTTAAAATTCTTGCTATAGTCATTGAGTTAACCCAAACTCACTTTAAAATGTGTGAAAATAGCACCTCCTGAAAGTGTGTTCTCATATGCTTTGGAGCAATGGAGCGTGAATACTAAAGCAGCCTTTGCCAAACTCATGTAACAGCTCAAGAACTAAACAGGAGTGAATTTTTGCAGTCCCATGACTTTGCAGAGCCAACCTAAGTATCATCCCAGGACTAGCTTTAATATATCAAAGACATCCAAGAGAAGGCAGAAAAGTCACAAATAAGTGACTCAAGCTAATAAATATTTCATAGATTTTTTCACATGGCAGTCTTTTCAAAATCAATTTTACTTCTTAACCAAAAAAGTTAATTGGCTAAATAAAGGTGTGGACTTAGGATTTAAGCTTCTAGAATTAACACTAGGAAATTTATAAAGATATTTGTTTGACAAAGTGTTCTCCTGGATGCTCTTTCATGCACTTCTCATGAACCAATGCCCAAAGATTAACCAAGTCTAAAAGAAAATGCACAGACCACAGAAGAGTCATACAAAATTAAGACATTTAAAGAATAAAAGCCAAATAAAACAAACAGTACAAATGCACAATTTCCAGGACACTTTATTGTAATTTCCACTTTACATATTAATATTTTAGTCTAGGCAGAAGTGTTTATACTTATACAATAGTAGTCCAATCCTCTAATCTCACAAAATGAAGCAGTTTTAAAAGAACATCAATTAAGGTATTTATGATATGGGGGACAAGCGGCACTTTTAGCTGGAAAAGGGGGTGATGCCTTTCAGTACGAGTTTCACTGAAATTTTTCCTGTATTATTTTTCTTGTTGATGCTAAGTACTCAAATAAAAGCAATTGCACTTTTTCTCATTCTGCCCTCTCTTGGTCTTTACATTCTGTCTAGCATTTAACTCAAAAAGTCAGTTTACATTCAGTTTACACATTAAAAAAAAAAACCATATGCCCCATCTCCCACACATGCAAATGGACAGGGATTAGAATTAACCTGGCTTTTAGCTGTAACAGTGCTATTTAAAAATTTTCAACCACACACTTGAAGGGTAAGATAATTTAAGGTACAAAACCAAAGGAAACCATAACAATTCCTACACATTTACTATTTAACTGTTCTCAAATCATCGAGTATAACATGGATTTCTTAAAAAGTGAAATCGACACAAAAGCGAATGCACGCTTAATGTACAAACTGACAGTGGCTCTGTGGGGACAGTTCTCTTTGAATGAGCTATTATCCAGACAGTGGAATGAAAAAAAAAAAAAAAAAAGGTCTCACTCTTCAAATGTGAGGAAGCCGGCAGTGCGCTCGCTTCACGAGAAACACATTTTAATGGGTGTATTTGGATAAAAATAAGTAGTAAGGGAAAATGTGTTTTAAGAAACCTCCCCCCTTCCCAGGGCACAAGGAAACCCAGAGGAAAAGATGGGTAACCTCACAAGCTCCAGAGCTAAGTTCCATCACTAACAGAAGTTGGATACTTGCTATTTTTCGCCCTGCAATGGGATAGTAGTTCTCCATGTGCAAGGTACGCGGGGCGGGAATACTGGCGGGGCTTTCACTTGGGGTAACGGAAACCAAAGTGAGGAGAGGTCAACACCTTGAGTAACCCAGATCTCCAAAACCGGGGCAGGGTGAGGGGTGGTGGGGGTGGTGAAGAAGACAAGTAAAGGGGTCAAAACTCCTCGAAGTCATCGCAAAGAGAAAGCTAACACCTCTAGGAGCCACGGGGCCATCCCTTGCAGCAGCACCCTGCTCCAAGTGTGGGGTGCCTGCCTCGGAGGGCAAAAAGCGCAGGGTGCCCTTAGTTCAGTTGAGTGGCTCCGGGGACCCGGGCAGCGAGAGGGCAGGGGCATCCGCCGGCCGGGAGGCGGACTCGCACTTTGCCTCAACTCTGAGCCCCATCCCGAGCGCAAGGGAGAGGGCGGCGGAGGGCACGGTACTCACTAGGGCTCGTTGGTGAATCGGGGGGTCCGGGGCTGCTGGTATCCGTACAGGTGACAGTAGAGCACATCGAAGCAAAAGCAGCACATCTCTGCTGACACCACCATCTTCCGGGAGCCCGGCGATGAGGACGAGGCGGCGGACGATGAGGAGGGTGAGGAAGAGGTGGCGGCGGCCGGGGTAGAAAGTAGGGTCCCCACTCCGCAGCTCGGAGGTGGCGACAGGGCGATCCCCCCGCCGCCGCCGCCGCAGCCCTGGGGGGGAGAGAGGGTACAGCCGCTGCCGCTACCTCCTCCGGTTAGACCTCCCAGCCCGTTGAGCCGCGTACCGGCGCCTCCTAGTCCCAGCTCCCCAGCTCGGCACTGGCTCTCTCCGCTGCAGTGGGAGGAGGAGGAGGCGCCACCACCGCCACCCGAGCCAGAGGGGGGCGAACTGGACAGTTTCTGCTTCTTCACCCCGCAGCAACCCGCCGCCATCTTGGAACAGTCTCCCCCACGCAGCGTTTCCGACCCATAAGTGAGGCGAGCTGGCGGCGGGGGCGAGCAC